CCTCCAGGTTAAGTGGCCGTTCGGACCGGTGATTGGTCCTCCATCCTCCAGGTTAAGTGGCCGTTCGGACCGGTGATTGGTCCTCAACCCTCCCACGTCACGTGAACCGTTCTGACATAATTGATTGGTCCTCGTTTTGGAAATCTTTGATCTCGTTCGGACCTTGTTCGGATCTCGTGTGAAGTTGGTTCGGACTTGTTCGGACCTTGTTCGGATCTCGTTTGAAGTTTGTTCGGACTTGTTCGGACCTTGTTCGGATGTCTTAGAAGTTGGTTCGGACTTGTTCGGATCTCGTTTGAGTTTCGTTCGGACTTGTTCGGACCTTGTTCGAATGTCTTTGAAGTTGGTTCGAACTTGTTCGAACCCTTTAAAATGTGTTAGGACCTCAGAGGCCGCCCAGGAACGGTGCAGAGACCTTTGCAGAGCAAAGGGAAATTAAAGGAAGGACGAGTGCCTTCTCCTGTGGTAAACAGCACAAAAAAATTATAACCTTTTCTGACACTATGCGTTCCTCTGGATTATTATTCATTTCCGCGATTCCTCTATATCGTCAAATAGGTTTATCTGAAAAGAAAAAAATAAATTTATACCGACGAGGATGGGATTCGAACCCACGCGTGCAGAGCACAATGGATTAGCAGTCCATCGCCTTAACCACTCGGCCACCTCGTCTGAAAGCACCCGTGATCATGACACAAATAAACCAGCAGGATTTGTCAACGACAGTTCAGTATTCTGTGCATGACTGTATGCCATCATTTTCGTGTATAACATTGTGTGTTGGTTTCGAAAATTGCCGTCTGTGAACGCTTTACATTACAAGGATACCCCCGCCGCTTGAAACGTAATAACACCGTTTCCAGCGGCGCATTTAGTCCCGACTTTACGGCTGTTACACATCGACATGCGCCGCAGTCGCAGCAGCTGCTCAGCCAACCAGCGCTTTGTTGTGATTTAATGGATCACAGAATCTACTCCGCGACATCGATCTCCCTGCTACTTTGAATCGTTCGAAATGCTCATTTAATCCAACACGACATCCAAGCAGGGGTTCACTCCGACACAGCCCTGTTAGGCTGTGCTGTTAGCAGCGTGGCTGGGATGTAGTCAACGTTAGCTGGAGCGCCTGGATACAACCAGCTCCTGATTTTTTTTTATTTTTTTTTTATTTGACCTGCTTTGTAAGGTTTATCTGGAATGCATTTATCCAAGAAATGCTCGGTGTTCAAAGTGGTGCTGAGCGCACTTGTGATCGTGGCGCTGCTGCAGCTCATCTACCTGTCCTTCCTGTCCAGGTTCCATGGGAAGCAGCAGCGCTACCGCTACTCGGAGCTCTTTGGAGGCTCCGCGGCCAAGAAGAATGGCCACTCCGAGAAAAACACGCGGAAGGAGCGGCTCAGGTACTCCCTGTCCACCGGTGGGATCTTTGACAACAGCGGTCAATACAGAGTATACAAAAACTTGATAAAGAGTGATTTCACAACCAATCAGAAACCAGGCTCCCACTCCAATTCAGATATCCTGTCTTTAGCCACTCATACAACCATAAACAACCTGCATCACCTGGAATCCCTGTTGGAAAGATGGCAGAACCCTCTCTCTGTGGCTATATTTGCACATGGGGAGGATGTGAAGTATGCCACTGCTCTGGCCTATGCACT